TCAATGTTAGCCCATGTAAAAAAAAAAAAAAAAAGAAAGGAAAATAATAATTATTTTTAGCTGCTAATTCCCATATCAAATTCCCCTACTCCAACTACTTTAGTGTTATGTTACACACATTTTCAATACATGCCCATTAAAGCCCCATCCAAGACTTGCTCAATTTACTGTTTTGGGGGGCCGCACTGTCCTAAGTCAATATAATGCCGGCCTAATCTGAGCCGTATTCATTTTCACATCATCAATATTAAATGCGTTGTCAAAAAAATTCTCCCATGAAACTTTTCACGAAATGTGGGTCGTACTAGTCAAATATTAATCCTAACCTAAATTGCTTCTATTTAACTATGATTAAAGGCTATACCAGCGCCACGCATATGTTGGACTAAGTGAAACGCTAAATGATTTTCCCATGATTTCAGTCATCAATAATAAACAAATAAGAGTGTTTCAGTCGAGCGAGTCCTGAGCACAGATGCTATTCCATTCCTTTAATGATTTCTTGAATTCATATGTATGTGTGTACCAAACGACACACGCAAACCCCCCGTTTTCTGAGAACTCTTCTACTGGTGTGTACTTCATGGGGTCTGCCAGACCTCCTTCTCCAATGAGGAGACAAAAGCAATTTCATCAGTAAAAGGCATTCTCAAAACGCTTTACAGTTCTGTGTTCTCATTAAAGTTCTTTGAAGTCCAACCATTTCCACATTCGAATCATATTAAAGATTCCCGGAAGCCAGTTCGCTTTAAAAATAGAATACAAACGCATCATTAGCTAATGGAAGGAGAAAATTGAAAGATAGTCCGCAAAGTAAATGAAAAGTTTGCAAGCTTCTTAAAGTCTTTGGGTACTTTTCCAATGGCCGCATTGCATAAGCCATCAAAATTAAGAGCACAGTACTGAAACGAGAAAACAAACAGTAAAACAAGAAACAGGAAGAAGAAGAACGATTGCAACAATAACGACAATCTGACAAAAACATATTCAGACTGCCAGCGAAACGGAAATGACAAACAAGAAACTCAGGAAACCCAGGAAAAGCAGGGACAGCGGAACAAGTGAGAAGAATGGGCAACAGCAACAGAGAGAAAGAGAGAGAGTGAGAGAAAAAAAAACGGGAAATATGTCACAATAAGCTTGACAATAAAACTCAAATGCAAGCAACTGCGCATAAGGAAGATGGCAAACTGTAAGGCGACAAATGAGGTAGATGGCAGAAATATCCTAACAAGTGATTAAAAAAAAGTTGAACTGGAAATTAGAACAAGTAAGAAGGCTCCAGTCGAGACTGCTCGACTAGGAGATACCCTGAACCCTCCAAACTGATATTCTAATCATTCTGGACTTCTTTTATGCACACATACATACACATGCACGTATAAGCACGCGCTTTGCAAACTGCGCAGCTAGCAGCGGCTGCGCTTGGGCTGCACTGCAGTGTGGGCAATATAACGAGAATTTATTTGTTGAATAATTTCTTTTGTAGACATACGATCTTAATGAAACTTTTAGAGCGTAATCATATGGCTTAAATGTGTGTACATTTCAAAGCACAAGTCTCTAGTACTTGAAATGCGTTTTTTACAAATTGGGGGCGAAGGGGGCGTGGTATCCAAAATCTGTAAATTACAAAATCTTTGTATCCATTAACTTTATATACAACGCAAATTTGAAGTCTCCAGGTCTAAAAGTGTTCAAAATAAGCTGAAAAAACATTGTCGATTTTTCGATTATTCTCGATAAAAAAGTTATCGGATGAGTTATCGAAAAAATAAAGCAAACTTGTACTGCCTATGGTATACACGAGTATGCTTGCCAAATTTCAGCTCTCTAGCTCTTATATCTTCTGAGATCCTTTTGCTCATACGGACGGACGGACGGACGGACGGACGGACGGACGGACGGACGGACAGACGGACAGGGCTATATCGACTCAGCTCGTCGTCCTGATCAAGAATATATATACTTTATGRRGTCTKYGATGATTCCTTCTGCCTGTTACATACTTTTCACAAAACCATTATACCCTGATTTCCCATTTTCAATGGGTTCAGGGTATAAAAAAAGAAAAAAAATGTACTTAAGGCAACGAAGAAGATGTGGGTCAGTTGTGTACTTTAAGTTACGTTACTTTAGCGATACGAATGGGAATTCCTATTGGGAATTCTAGATAAGATGATTGAGGTTATGATAGAGAAATGATATTCAACAACTTTGACTCTGGGGCTAACTACTCAACTCTCCCAATAACCCTTTCGGGATCTCCCTCTTATATATATTTTTGTATATCCCTTAATCGCTATTTCCGACTCGATTGTAGAGTATACCAATTCGTTGCATTTCTATCTTTCTGCACTTTCGTTAGCTTTGTCCGTTTCTTTGTCCCTTTGTGTCTGTGTCTGTTTGTTCGCTTCGTGTTCGTTTCGTGGCCTCAGTGCAGCACAAAAGTATACAACGTTAAATCAGCTGCACGGCAAATCCTTTAAGAGCTGGACGAACGGCAACTCCGCACTCCGTACTCTGTTCCCCTCACCTCTTCCACTGCATGACTCCTGGTACGGCTCGCTGGGCCACTTACTTATGAACTCGAGTGTTGAGGCAACGTCTCTCGGGCGTTGCTATTTCAATTAATTTGACGCTATGCGTCTTCTTTTACATATGTATGTATGTGCGTGTGTGTGTAAGTGTGTGTTGCCTGGGGCCTGTCGAGTGGTGTGAATGACTTGTTGTTGTTGTTGGTTCGCACGTGCCCAGTTGYTAGCTGTTGGGGCATAAAATCGATAAAAGGCTCGGCGATTGCATTTCGTTATGTTAGCTGATGGTCAAAGACAAGCTGTGCGAAAGAGACAGGGATATGCACAGAAAACGAAGCGCGAAGAGGAAGAGACAGCTGAAAAAAAGAAGCAAAAACCAACGGACCAGCCACATCATCAAGGCCACAAAATGTGACAGTCAAGCTGTCAAATCTTATCACACACACAGACCACAACACGCAAAAGTAACAAGCGCGAAATGTGCGTTGGGCAAATTCAATTAATGCAAAATGGGCAAAAGAACAACAAAGCGCTACATAAAAAATTCATTGGAAATTAAGTAAAGCCAAGACCAGGGGCAAAACAAAAAATGCAAACACAATCAAAAGCAAACACGCACACGTACGCACACACACTCAGATATGCCCGCATCTAATGCGAATTGCGCTCAAAACTGTGCTACAATCGAGAAAGAAGAGAAGAGAGGAATAGCAGCGTAAAAGCAAAAACAAAATGAACGTCGCTGTGCCTACAGCTGGGACTTCCAGAAATACGCGACGCAGCTGAGGTGGGTTGACACAAGGCAAGAGTAACAATGACACACACACGCTCACACTCACAGCAGGCGTACTCACTCACACGCGCTGCCACGCTCGTAGCGGGCGTTCGCGTACGCAACAAGGTCACTGGAAAAATCGTTAAGCAGCAGCAGCAGTAATAACAGCAATGACAACAACAGCAGCCGCAGCAGCAATGAATATGTCGATACCTTAGCTGTTTTTGCTATTGTAGGAGTATACACACACAGCCGATTTTATTGGCTTAAATAAGGTATAACAAAAAACATAGCACACTTTTGGCACTATATTACTTACCAGTTCGTCAGGCAATTATTATTCTCACACAGTTTAATGCGTCAACATTTTTCTTTCATTACAATTGTTGCGCTGCATGGGCGCAAAAAGTGTATAACAGTAAATCACACACCATACAAAATGTTATTTAAAGAACAACAATATATATATATATGAAAAAAAAAGAACAGTCTGCATCAACTATAACAAAAAGGCGCGTTTCACGCTGAACGCGTCTTACAACTGTAATTTATTTACTACTACTCTTTTGCTTTGCACGGTCAGCGTCTCAACTGCAGCTCCAACTAACTAAGAGGCTATTTCCAATTGCCGTTTCAACGTCTGTGCTGCGCGCTGTCCGTGGTATAACTGATTACTGTGACTAATAAGCATCCAGGACGCGGTGCCCATTATGTATGTGTGTGTGTGTGAGAGCGCTCAAACATGTATGGTGGCATGTGGTGGGTTGTGGTGAGTAGTGGTGGGCCACTGTGTGGCCGCATGTTGAAATTCCTATATATACACATGTATGTGTATGTGTCGAATGGCCGTTGGCAGACTGGAAATGCCATGCGCTCCAGTCCGACAGATTTCTGCTTAGCCACTTTTCTTTTCTTTTTTGCTATAGCTCATTTGTATGCCGCACTTGTTGGATTCCGCTTCCAGGCACTGCGCATGACTGCTGTCAGCCACGTGCGTTCCAATGCAAAAACAACAGCAATTAGACTCGCTGTGCGTGAGTGAGTAAGTGACTTTCTGTGTTGTTGGAAGCAAGCGCAAATAGCTGCGAGTTAAGCTAAAAGCACAAAACCAATGTACATATATAGATAAGAATATCTATATCTATCTATTTATACATACATATATAAATATTTATGTGCCTTTTTCCCTGTTGCTGCTTAGAGCCCTGGCATAATTATTTTTTAGCTGTACCAGAAGCTAAATCTAGCTGTGAACTAGCTAACACCACTAACTATAAAATAGCCTTTTCCTGACTAATACAGAGTTGAACAAAATCTAGCTATAGAGCTAAAAAATAAATGCTCGTTATTTATTTAGACAACCATTTACAACAGGAGTACATATAATATATACTTATGTGTATATATATTTAAAATATGCAACTTACAGTTAAACTGTGAGCAGCATTAAACATCATAACAATTGAAAGGGGGATGGGATTAGGAGTCGTTTTTTCATTGGCCAACCAAGTGCGCAACGAGCTTAAAGCTAAAGAGGAGCTCGCACGGGCGGCGTCCGCTATAAATGCACATTCTGAAGGGGAGAGGGGATAACTTGGGTTGAGCGTCACGTGGCGGCCATAGGGCACTGAAAACAGTTGCAAAGGTTTTTTTTTTTTGCTTTCTTTCTAACTTTCTTTCATTCTTGTTTTCTATCTTTCTGTTTTGTAAATAAATGCAAGAGAACAGCCTTAACGGTTGATCGCTGGAAGCTTCGCAGCCTGGCTTAGTAGAGCAAAAAGAGCGCCGGATGTTCCAGGTGCTGCTTCCAGACATTGGAAAAACTGGCCATAGTGACGCCATCGATGACACGATGATCCGCCGACCAGCTAACACTCATGATGTGTGCCTTGACAATCTCGTCCTTGTCATTGAAGCGCGGCACCGCCTTCGTACGTCCCATGGCACCAATGGCCACCTGGGGCGCCATTATGCAGGGATGTGTATACGTGCCACCCACCTGCAAGTTCAAGAGTTGTATGAGATCCAAACCAATTCTATTCATAGACATAGATCACTTACGATGCCAATGTTGGACAACGAGAAGGTGCCGTCGGCAAAGTCCGCGGGGCCCAGGGAGCCAGTGCGCCCGCGCTCGACGAGCTCATTCAGATCCTTGGCTATCTGAATGATGCTCTTCGCCTGACAGTTCTTGATGTTGGGCACCACCAGGCCCTGGGGCGTATCGATCGCAACGCTAATGTTGTGGGCGCCCTTATAGATGATCGACTCGCTAGCCAAATCCAGCGAGCTATTCACAATCGGATACTTGGTCAGGGCAATGCTGGCGGCCTTAATGCAGAACGGCATAAAGGTTAGCTTGGGCACGCCCTGCTCCTGAGCAGAGGCTTGCAGTTGGCTCCGGAACTTGACCAGATTCGACATGTCGATCTCATCGCTGTACGCAAAATGTGGAATTTTCTATGAAAGGAAATGGAAACATAATTATATATGGAATCACTATTATAACTAAATCTAAATTGAGTGACTACAGCATTGAGGAACTTCAGTTCATAAAATGCTTAGGATGAGCTCGAAAAAAACAAATATTTAGATCGATATTTATCGAGCTCCGTTTTACTAGTACATATTTTAACATAGACAGCGTATAATTGATGAAAATCAAGATCTCTTTGAATGCCCTGCTTTGAGCATTAGAAATATTGATTAGAAAAAAACATAACAATCGATATTTATCGATTTAATGCAAATGTGAAGGTAAGCTGATCCAAATTTAAATTCATATTAAATGCATATGAGCTTTAAATCGTGTGCGTTGCTTTTTATATTGGGGCTACGCATTAATATCGATATTTATCGGTTTTATTAAAATGAGGGAGTTTTAGAATATGCATTAGGAGCTTATTTTGCTGCATTTCAATAAAAATGATTTACATACTCTAGTCAAAGATGCTGTATAAATGTCAAAGTAATCGTGATATATCGATAAATATGGAAGTCACCACATATACAGGTAAAAGTATGCTGCAAGACTGAGTAAGCCTGAAATTTAAGGCACTAGTTTACTATATATCAGAGTTACTGATAAATTAGCTATCGATATTTATCGATTGGTACATTATGCAACATTTGAAGAAGAATAAATAACTACTAGACAACTAACACACAGACGCGTAATAGACCAATCAATAAGCATATATATAGAATAAACTTGAGTTTCTATGTCCCTTTATTACTTACGAGTGATTCCGTCATCGACTTGAGCATGGCCTTGCGCACGCCCTTGAGCTGCTCCACACGATCCGCTGGCGCCGTCACGGGCGGAGTGGCGGCTGGAGCCAGCTTGGCTTGCGTGTTGCTGGGATGGGGCACATTGGTGCCGGGCGGCACTTGACCCAAATACTCGAGCACATCGCCCTTGAGCACACGTCCATTTTTGCCTGTGGCCGGCACCTTGGCCAGATTCACTTTATGCTCCTTGGCCAGGCGACGGACGGCGGGTGTGGCGGGTGTTATATGGCGACCAATTGACAAACCGCCAGCTGCTGCTGCTGGGCTGGGCTGCGCATCACTATCGCTCCCGCTGCTGCTGCTGCTGCTGCTGCTACTGCTGCTGCCATCATCTTCTTCCTCCTCCGCATCCGCCACCTCGAACTCGAGCAGCGGTTTGCCCACCAGAGCCAGCTCATCGATGTTGTGGTAGATGCGCGTAATCTTGCCATCGTAGCGACTGGTGATGGTCACCGATGCCTTGTCCGACTGCACCTCGCACAGATTGTCGAACTGCTCGACGGTGTCGCCCACCTTAACGAACCACTCCTTGACGGTCACCTCGCGTATGCCCTCGCCAATGTCGCTCAAATTGAAGGCGATCTTCTTCTCCAAGCGAGGCGTCCAATGCAGGCACCGCGACACCTGAAAAGGGCCCAGAGTTATTCAAATATCACCGATTTCAAATATCAAATTCCACGTTTCAATACAAAGTGCAAATGAAGCGGCAAATTCTGGAGTATAATTTGTCTGACTCACAAATACCCTACATGTATCAATGTTTGATATACATACATATATGGAAATATATGGAAAAGCATATGCAACATATGAAAACCCTAGAAAATAAGCACCTAATACACAATATACACAATAAATGATGTATTGAGTTTTCGTTATATATAAACTTCAACAAAAGCCATAACAGATCTACTAAAACATATTAAGAATGACCCCTAAATAGCAATATATACTTATATATACATATATATACAAATATATATCGTATTACCCTTTATCGCTGCAACTACTAGCAGAAACACAATATACCCGATTCGCGAACATATTCAATTGATTGAGCACATTAAATGGTAAAGTCAAACAGGCATGCGCCCCCTTTCGGTATTAGTGCGAGAACAGCGAAACAAATGGTGTGCGTTCACCCTCTCCCTCTCCCTCGTGCTCGCTCTGTCGCACCTGTTGCGCGAATTGTGCGTGGAAAGCATGCTATCGCGCTCGCACACATGCTGTCAACTGGACAAATGGAATTGCCACTTGTTGTTGTGCGAATTCGATTACATAACAGAACATCGCAGAACATCGCGACTTTCTCGTGTATCCGTTGCTTTTATACCTTTCGCCGCACGCAAATTATAATTTTTGATCAAAGATACTCAAAGAACTTAATTATTGTTCATTAATCGCCACTTACAGTGAATGGCATCGAGCGTTGGCAATTTTTGAGCAGCCAAAATGTGCTGCCATTTCGTAGCAAATGTGTTGCCATGGCCAATTTGGTGAATGTTTGTTGGTAATGGCCTGTAATTGTAAAAGACCAAGAAATTTAAGTTCTGTTTTGGTTGGCTATTTATTCCGTTAAAAATACCTCTAAATGCTGCAAAATGTGCGAGTCGATGCGTTAAATCCACTCAACTGCCCCCAATGATCGCCCTTATCAAACGAACTTCTGGTCGTCAGTTTGTTTTGCATTTACCAGCTGTTTGCCAGGTGGAGCTGATCGTTACGCTAGCGCCATCTAGCTTCAAAACATCTTTCAAATGTCCAACATCGATAGGGAATTTGAATATCGATTGAAGTTAGCGTCATCTAGCGACTAGCTATTGAGCGTGGCAGTGCTAACAGCATTGCTTATCAAATATTAAGGCTAAAAATTGATGGTGATAAGAAATTGTCCAGAAAATCTTTTAAATTAATATTAAGAGCTAGACATGAGAAAGACACAAGGAATATCTAGTTCTATTGCATAATTGTCTTTTATTTCAAATTATTACAGCAAAGAATCTCAAAATAACTATGTTCCACTTATGACAATTTTGACAAAATGCGTGTAAAGGAAAAAAGCTTTTTATTTCATATGAATTTTAGCAACCGTATTGGAGAAATTGATAACATTCTTACAAATGTGGATAAAAGGCTAATTATTTTATAGCCAAATGGTTACGCGCGCAACACTGTACAGATTTTCAAACCAATCGGATGCTTATGACGCTGGCGCCCTCTAGCGACAACAGCTGTTGTAGAAATATCGTTAGCTACCAAGCAGCTGTGTCAGCAAACAAAAACAACGTGATCAGCAAAATGGCAAGTCGCAGCAAATGTTAAAAAGTAAATAAATAATTCAATGTCTATAAATTGCAGGCGAATTTACGTAAAGAACTGGAGAAATGCAAACACCCCAACAGCCGTAAGACTAAGGCGTTGGGCAAAAAGGCTCGCAGACAGAATAACAAGCACAAAACCCGCCTCGGCCATGCGATTAAAAGCAATATAATGGGCGAGAAGCTGAGCTGGTTTCTCGGCCACATTGATGAGGAGCGCACGACGCCGCTGAGCCCACAGGAATTTGAAGAGCTAATTGAGCTCTACCTGCATAGGTTCGACGAGGAACTACAGCAAATAGCGCTGAAGCAATCGATAGGCAAAAATCGCGCCAATCAGCACGCAGCTCGACAAGATGTCATCAGAATAACACTGGAAAGGGAGCGCAATGAGTACCAGAGCGGCGGCATGGGTAAGAGAAAAACAGATTATAAATTATGTGTATATTTCAATACATCACATCACAAATTTGCTTTCACAGAATTGCTTAATCTCTGCGATCCGGCCAAATTCAAAATGCTGATTGATTGGGATGGCAGCGCGTTGAGCGTTCAGCATTTAAAGCTAGATTTGGTCTCACACAATATGCTGCAGCGGTTGAAGCAGTCAGCGGCAGCCAGCACCAGCGCGGATCAAATGGAAACAGTCTAAAAACCATTCATTATAATAATATAAGCAAATTTCAATAAACATGGAGTAAACAGTAGTGGCGGAAATACACAAAGTAAATAGYTAGCTTGCATATCGATAGTAGCAGCGATAGTTGACCCACACTGTGCGCTTATTGTGAATTGTGCTGCCAGCCGTATTTACAAACGAGCTACATATATAAACATTTAGTTGCGAATTATCCCTATATATATGTATACTACTATAGATTACATAAATATATAAGGCTTATAAATGGCCCCTTCCTGCCTGGTTCTAAATCAAATATTCTATTAAATAATTGTCACTGTTCACACCTTACATTTAAATACTTACACAGCATACAGAATATAATAAACATTAAGACACACATACCAGAAAAAACACTTACGGCTTTTGAAATAAATTGCATTTACTCTTCCATTGAGAGTGCATTCAAAATTTGACTATAAAAAAGCTGAGCTGACAACACTGTTGAGCACGTGTGCTGCAGCGACGCCTATCGATAGGCAAATAAACAATCAGCTGTTCGTCGCGTGCGTGTGTGTGTGAACTTGAAATTTGTTATTCGTGTGAATTGTGGTGAAATAAACTGCACAAATTTTTTAATTTAGGTAAGATTTATTACATAAACAAATGCCAGCAAAAGCAGAAGTGCATCCGATTCACCTAAAACCCACATTTATTATATTCCCCCAGTCTCTGCGTAAATAACATACAACATAACAATGGGCAGCAGTTCATCGAAGGGAGTCGGAGTCGTGGAGACCGCCGCCGCAACTACAGCGACAAATGCAGCCGCCGCCGGCGGTGACAAACCCAAGTGCAAAGCCTGCTGTGCCTGCCCCGAAACGAAGCGGGCACGTGACCAGTGGTAAGTAAAAATGCGATGACGCAACAAATTTTGATGTTGCATTTACGTTTGCTTTCGGTAGTCTAATCAACTTGTACTTTTGCAATTTGCAGCATTGTGGAGAACGGGGAGGAGAACTGCACAAAGCTGATCGAGGCACACAAGCAATGCATGCGAGATGCTGGCTTCAATATCTAGGAAGCTAGAAGCTGGGTCGGTGGAGTACTACTTAGCATAAGGCGGCGGCATCTCCCCACCCACTGGCGCGTTAACTTAAATTAATATCCCAATTTTTTTTTCGTTTGTTATATCTCAAGCTAATTATAGTTAATTTAATTTAAAACAAAAAAAGCCAAAACTTACTGAAACCAAACGCAAATTTTCGCTTTCATTTTTGGCACGTAAGAGTGCACAAATTGCGATATATGACACCTGTGACGTCAGAGATTATCGCGTTGTTCTTAACTGGCTCCCCAAAATCCTACTGTCATCCTCCCTCTTATCAGCTAGCTAGTTAGATTAAATGAACGAGTGTCCGGTTCATGGTTTGTTTACATGTACAAACAAATCGTGACGTGAGAGCAGCGAGAGATCTTGCGCTTCTCTCCTGTAACTGTGACGTCAGAAATTCTGATGCTCCATAATTTGATTCCTCAATTACTCTTCTACTGCTCTAAGATTGTCTGCCATATAAACATTTTATTTAGGCAGAAAATGTTAATAGACAATGCCACAGCTGTGACGCCTTAAAAAAAAAAAAAGCAGAGCTTCGTCAAGTGTTACCTTTTATTATGTAACGCATGCATATTCTAAAAAAAAAAAAAAAATCACTTAAGCTGTTCAACCCTAAACCTATTTGTGCTGCCCTAGCCGATATGACTATGTGACGTCAGCGCGCGCAAGCTTTTATGGCGCCACTTTTCAAATTTGTACGCTCAAATGAAACGCAATGTACGCAAAGCCACAACGGCAGCCATGTAGAAGGTAATCAGCAGCATCGTGGCAAAGGCCAAAATTCGTGATGGCTGCGGCACTGGGTAGAGAGCATAGACGAGCGTGTGGACAATGCGTGCAATAGCAGCCACGCGGAACAGATTGCAGGCCACGAGAGGATTGGGGTTGGTGCACACATAGATCAAGGCCATGATGAAGTATGGCAAAATATTCTCCATATCATTGCGATGAGCTCTACAATGAGAGAGAGAGGGGGAGAGAGCACGCTGTCAATCTCTTCAAGTTGGCTGTTTTGCATACCCACCTTCGCACGCGTTCCACATGTGGATCATCGAACTGCACTTCAATGTTCTTGAAAAACAGATCCTCTTCGTTGGGAAAGACCTGAAATGTGGTGGCAGGCAAATGGAATTAATGGAAGGCGCTGGCTGGAAGGGTAACCACTTCCACTTAATATTAAGTAGAGTGCAAGCGAGAGGGAAAGTAAAGAACAGCATTTAAATATAAATGAGTGAATGAGAGGGTGCGATTGCCAATTTTGCAAAATGTTGTCAAGCAGCTCAAACATATACATACACATACATACAAGCATATGTGTGCATTAATGTATACAGTATTATAATTTATCTGTATACATACATATATACATGTTTTGACATGCATATGTATGTGTGAACGTTTAGTTGCCAATACGTTAAAAGAATATAATTGCATTTGGTATTTATAGAAACAATGTTGTTGATGAGAGCGAGAGCAGGATCGTGAATGGAAATATGAAGCTTCATGAGAAATGCGTCCCATACACTACACATTTCAGTGCATGGCGCGCAGTGGCAGCGAGAGCGAAAGTATTCAAAAAGCAAGCAGAGTTCCAATTGGGTCCCATACACCGAACATTATTTATATATGTACATATGACTATTTCGAGCATGCAGGATTTACCTTGCGCCGCACTGCCAGCGGCACCAGACCCAACAGCTGTGAAATTCGAAATTGCATGAATGAGCTGCAGTCGTGTGTGTGTGACTGTGTGTGGCACATCCAGGACTTACCTTGTAGCGGAAGCGCTGCAACGCCGTCAACAGGGACATGAGCAGCATCTTCACCACCAGCACTGTGGCCCAAAAGAGATAGCAACAGAAGACAGGATTGTCCAGTGTGAGCAGCTCCATATTTGTCAGCTTATCATGCATCGTAGGAGCAGATGTGTTGGACATGTCGAGCGTCTGTTTTCTGTCTGTGCGGCTAAAGCGTACTTTGGCAAGTGATCCAATGCGGAGTTCCAGTTCCAGCTCAAACAGCGCAGCGCCAACTAGTCAAACTGGTTCCAAGCTATTATTTATAAGTGTGTGTGTGTGTGTGTGTGCGACTAGAGAAGCTACTGACTAGGTGACTAGGCAAAACATAAAATGTTAAACGGCTCATAAATCCAACAGCTTCCTCTCCTCCTCTCTCTCTCTCATTCTCTCCCTCTCCATCTCTTGTCTCTTCCGTTTAGATATATTTGATGGAACAGATGAGCACATAGACCGCCTCGAAGCACATAATGCTAAACGTGATGAAGAAGCAGATCGCTCGCGTCGGCTGCGGCAGCGGCAGCACAGCATAGAAAATCGTGTGCAACAGTCGAGCGCTGGCTCCAATGCGTATCAGCAGCTTGGCGGTCAATGGGTGGGGGCCACAGGCCACATAGGCCAGGGTCATTAGCAAAAAGGGCAGCACATTCTCCAAATCGTTGCGATGAGCGCTGCAATAAGAAATAGATAAAATGTGAGAGAGAGAGAGAGAGAGAGCAGGAGAGTAGGAAAAAGGATCCCACACACTACATTCAAGCAATGCAAAAATATTGCAATTAGTATTAATATTTTATTATACATTTACATACATATGATTGTATAAAGAATCATTGATCTCTTTGTTTAATATAATAAATATACCTAATCATATATTGCTCATGGCTTAACTGAATTTTATAGCGAAGCTGCTCAAGTGCAATTATGACGTGTGTGGGACAAGCACTCAACAAACTGCAAGGCGAGAGTGAAAGTGTGTGGCCCACACACTACATACGTATTGGCGAAGCAATTAAATGGATTTTTAGCTCAATGAAATGAAATTAATTTGAAGCGGGACCATCATGATAATGAATTGCATATTAGATTATACAATTAAATCAAATTATATTTAATGCTTAGGTCACAATCTAAATATGCGGCAGATCGCATGATGCGCTGCTTCTGGAGCGTGGATCACTGTGTGACGTCACTAATGGGCTTTTAAGAGCGTACGTGACATACATATACATACATACAAACATACATACATATGCACAGACATTGTATAACACATTTAATTGAAATTTTTCATCATATTTTATTTTATAGTACATATGTATATACATACATAGTTATGTATTTATTTATACTTTTTGTACTTACCGACGCACTCGCTCCACATTGGGATCGTTGAAACGCACATCTGTGCATCGGCCCACCCGCAAATCCTCCGGATTGGCGAACGTTTTGGTTTTAATGCGCTGCCTGGCTGTCAATAGAGACATGCATAGCATTTTAAGTATGAGCAGACTACTCCAAAATAGATAACAGCAAAAAACCGAATTCGATTTGCTCAGCAAGGGAGCTGCGGGCATGCTTTCGGTCTCCATCTTCGACTGGAACTGAAAACCCTTATAGGCCGTTATAATTAAGGAGACATAACGGTGAAGACAGCTGCTTGCGTTCACAGTCCCGCTCCTTTCGCTGTGCCCGCCTCTGCCACAATCAAGGCTCTGACCTGACCCAATAGACCATATAGAATCGAATAATTACCATGCCAGGTTCTCACCTGCATTATTTATCGCAACAATGAAATTAATAAGTTATTTGCTTTAACTTTTCAAGATTGCTTCCTCACTTATTGCATTTGTTTGCTTGCGAAATTGTGGCAGCTAGTCAATGAATTAATTAGGTCATTTATTTCATCAGTCAGTCAATTAATCCAATCTGTCTCCTTCTTCGGATTGGATTGGGGATTGGATTGTCGCCAGCATACAAATCGTATCAAATTTTGTTGTTTATTGTTGCAGTTCACACGCACGCATACACACACACACACACTTGCACACACACAGACAACAGTTCTAGAATTCGCACATCCAAAAATAAAAGATCAAGGTTGCGTTTAACAAACAACAAAAGACAAAAACAAAAAATATGAAAAAAAATCTTGCGCTAACAGATGTGTATGCATACACATAGGCACGCACAAACATACATACATACAAGTTGACATACAGACAAACAGATTATTATAATAGACAAAATCAAGAATTCAAACGGCAACGGAAGCGTCCAAATAAGAAGCAGCAGAAGAGAAAATCAACAACAATAAGAACTGAAATTAGTATTGCTTAAATTCAAAGTTCAGCCGGCGAATTAACCGTATGCATATACATGCATACATACAAATATACATTCAAACCCATTTAGTACATAAATATGTACATGTGTATGTGTATGTATGAATGTATAACTATCAGGTCATATTTTCATGCAAAGCTTAGTTAACCGTTTGTCATTGAGCAAGCAGCGAGCTGTCAAACACTACAACGCAAATAATGAAATGCAAAAACAAATTCGCACAGATTTGTGTGTGTGCGAGTATACATACATATGTACATACGTGTGTGTGAATCGTCTATGTGTCTTTGCAAGTACTTCTGCACTCATGTTGATCTACTGCGTGAGCTGTAGACGCGTGTGGCATGTCAAACTGTACCCCCAAGATGGCAACTAATGGCATGCGTATATGTATACATATGTATGTACATGCATATGCATGCATGTATTTGTGTATGTATGTGCGATGTGACGTACGCCAAGAGTTGGTCTTTGCTCTTGTCTAAATTTAGTCAAAAGAGTAAAGAGTTTCATGCTTGTTTTTGTTTTTGTTTTTTTTTGCTTTTGCGTTGCTGTTGCTGCTGCTGCTGCCGAACAAATTAAACTCGCGCTCTACCACTCATCGAATTTTCTCAACGCTACAGCGCGACGCCGGCAGTGTCGCTGCTGCTGCGTCGTCGCCGTCGTCGTCATTAGCCACGCAGACGACGACGCTAGCCGCGACACGTAGAGCGTCCAAAGTCCAACTGTCTGGGTGCTTTTTTTGTTGCTACTGCTTTTGTTTTTGTTGTTGTTTTTTTTCCTTTGGTCTGCTTTATGACGAGTGGCGTTTAACATTTAAACGAGGCAATCAGAGGGAGAGAGAGAGAGAGAGAGTGACAGTGAGAGAGAGGCAGAGCTCATGATATACAGTAGAAGGGAAGAGCTGAAGAGAGTCAGAAAAGTATTTTGTATTTAAGGATCATAATTTACAGTAAGGCTAGCCTAACAGTTAATTCGCAATTCTTTGCATGCGATAAAGTTTGCTTGCATAAAAATAGGCCAAAGTAACTTGAGTTCTAAGCCAGCTATGGAGTTCGGACTGATGTTGAAAACTTTCTCAATAATTGCACAGCGTTTATTTACATAAGTAATATGATGTATGTACATGCATATGTTAATTGTGTACTGCAATTCGTTAAGCTTACTTTCTACATAATATTTGCCTTCTGGAACAAACAGCTGTTTATCACGAAAAATAAATTATAGAGTTAAAACATCACCTTGGATTTTAGTAATAGTCTTTGGCAACTCGACAGGTAGCCAACATCTGGCATTATAATTGCACTCGACATATATGTATGTACATGTATATATGTATATCTCAAGTACTTGCGAAGCGATTTTATAAAGCTTTCAAACATTTCTAAGTCTTCAGCTGAATAAAAATGAATTTATAAAGCAACAAAGCGTAGTTACTTTATTACTAGATAGTCATGACGCGCAAAAAATAAAAATAAATAAAAAATAATAATTAAAAATATTGTAGTCTGAAGAGCACTATATATCATCATATGATAAGAATTCTGTTTTGACAGACATTCAGCATTACGATATAATTCAGCCAGAAGAAAAACAAGAAACAAAACTTTTCTTAACTTATCAAAATTGAGCTTTGGGTACACACTTTTCGTTGTTGTTGTTAGCAAGTGCGATAATGTCTGGACGAAGAGGAAAAAGAAGAACGATGAACTTGCTAGCGACTCATCCAAATTACGCATGATTAACGTAATGAATGTGGCGGAATTTCTACCCGAACAAAGTCCAAATTTATCATCATTTTATTTTTATTTCATTCTCATTTTTGGATACACAGAAACACGTTGGCACTGAATTGGGTTAATAGTAGTACTAGTATATGTACATATACATATATAGGTATGTACATACATATATACATATGTACAATATATAGGAAAAGCCTTGGCAGCGCAACACATGCTGCAACATCTGGCATATGAATTGCAAATGAATTCAGCTGCTACTAAACTCTGGACTTTAGATACTATGGACTCTTAGAATATATATGTATGTATGTGTATATACTAGATTTCTATATATATACATTTACATATATACATGTATATTGCACGATAAGAACGGTGAGTGTCAATAACCGACAACGCAATGCTTATTTGTAGCGAGTGCATTTGATATTGGGATGTGTGGCTGCTTTACGACGTAATCCATAGATAATATAATGCAATAGCCATCTGGCTAAACAGACATACAGACATATGTACATATGTGCATACGTATGTATGTATATACATGTGCTAAATAAATTAGAAGGCGGTAAGGAGCACAAATTTAACTTAGATAGACATACATTGTAGAGCTAAAATATTCATACATATATAAACTACATCACAGAGTCATTAACTAAAAAGTTAGATTTGATGCTTATGTAAGAGTACGATAAAGACATATGCAGTTATAGATATAGCTTAGATAGTGCAGTTTTTCAGCGCTTAGTTTACTTGACTGCTTTATGATGTTTTCACGATGTATTTCTATCCAGGCGCTACTCAAAAGTTCCTCCTTTTCTTTCCTCACTTCTTCTTTCTTAATAGAGGAACTTCTTCCTCTTGCTCCGTTCAATTATTTCCTTCTCATCTCCACTGGTTGCTGCTTCCCTGCTGACATTCGCTGTAATCTTTATCATGCTCTGCTTTGCTCTATACATCTCTTTTACTCTCCATCCTCTCTCCTCTTTTCTTCAGCTTTTCCTTTGTTCTCCTGTTTTATCTAAAGTGCGTTGCATTTCCATTTAAAAGTAAATCTTTCCGGTATATCCTAAACACAAACTGAGTCTTGATCTCAATTTTTGATTTGCATATCTAATTGGTTGATCTAAAATCGAGCTAAGTCCCAGTAGGAAAAGGAACTGTCAGAAACTTCATGAATTTCGAAAGATCGCTAAAGTGGATCCATCAGATAATAACAACTCCATGTAATACGAAATAAAATAAATATTAACCAACATTGTGTGAACGTGCTTTGATTTACGCTTTGTTTACGTATTTTTTTGAGACGTCTATAAACAATTACAAGGTACCGTTATGGCATTTTTAACTGTCTGATTTGATTTACAATGTTGTAAATATTTAATGGGGTACGTAGTTTTGTAAGTGCGATAAGTCGGGGCTCAAAGTCGACCGAATGAGTGTGAGAGGGCGGGCGCGGAAGGGTGATAGCGCTATCTGTATAATCATTTAGATATCGATATCGGTAATAAGCATCGATAATTAGCACTTCGATTGGATTATAGCGCAATCCCCGCTATGATGACAACGCAAATGAGCTGAACTTTGGAACAGACGGTGATACCAAATGCGGTTTGTGGCCAGACGACGCACAGTAAAGCCAGCGAACGGAACTGGGCCACGTATCAGACGCCTGATTGGGCGTACTTCACTTAGGGGCCAGCGTCTGGGGACGGCTTATCTTTGGACCCAGACGGCTAATGGTATACCCATTAGCTAACACCGATCTGTTTCCGTATTTCAAGCTTATTTTAATAAACCGATATACCGATAAATATCGATACCTTATTTATTATTATAATTTCTGAAGTTATCCTGATAAAGGAGACTATATATTCGAAGTGTATATTTTATTCTATATGTCAGTGACATCATTGTGTTATCGATAGCATCCCATTTTCTGCCACAATTTTATGAAATGTACATTGAATTGCGAATTGAATTTATTTGTATTATATTTTTTATATTAGATAGCTTTTAATAATGCTAATGCAATTTGTAATTCGCTTACAAAACGCATGGGTTAGACGTAGATTATTCGAGCCTTATGTTACTTCAAGTATACCTGATTTTAGAGTATCTACGACTCTGATCGTATAGTCGATCATTCGATAAATATATTATTTGTATTGAAATGCTGATATTTGATATAATATCTGTGCATATCTAGCATGTGTGAGTCTGAGATCAAGTAGAGTTACTGCTACAGGGTATTCGCTAGTCGTGCAGCCTATGCTGTAGCATTTCAACGCTTAGCTGTTCGTTTGTAGCACAAGTCATTTAGTCAGAACCCGTTGTTTGAACTTTGGAACTGCGCTGCAATTACATTGAGCAGAGCAAATATTACGTATACGTATAATTTAAGTACATGCATGTATGTATGTATATACATATGTATGTATGTATGTATATATATGTGTGTGTAAGTACATACGCACTTGTAATACGCCAGCCATGGCGCCATCTCCGCTTCTGATGACATGATCTTCTATTCTGTTAG